TGAGTCGACCCCAGGGCCATAGTGCGACTGGAAGGATTAGGTAAATTGAAAAAAATCCAGTAACCTTATCGGGACTTGATCCCGCGACCTTCCTGCTTGTAGCATAGTGCCTCAACCAACTGCGCTACAGCGTGCCCCCAGCCGAAGTACTTAAGTATAGTAAAGTGAAGTAACACTGTATGCCGTATGTAACTGGTTACGTGTACGTACCTCTTCTGGTGAGCGGGCCTTCTTAATTTATGTATGAAGGACAGTACGCTAATGGATTTCATTAGAAGGCGCTTTTAATATTCAAGCCTTTTTTATTTGTATTTCAGGTCCCGGATGTGTGCTCTTAATTATTATGCGAAAGCGCAGATACATGCACACTTTATTTCATTTATTTTGAGTTTATTTATCGTCAGTGACGACTGATATGGACATGTAAGTCAAACACGCGCCTTTGAATATATTAATTTCAGCATCAAATCGTGCCATCTTCACGTCATGAAAAATTCAGGTGAATAATGATGTGGGGCGCGGTATACGTTTGGACGAAAGCCAGGAAATGTGATTCTTATACCGTAATACATGGTTGGTTGAAAGCTGTAATCAAGTCACATTCGCCAGGTACTTTAAACGGCCATGTTCACTCTCATATTCTATAGAAGGGAAGAGGATTTGTCTCGATAATTTATAAGTACACGAAGAGGGTGTGGAGGGAACCAGTTCTTCGACTTTGTTTCTTTTCTCGCGTGCTTCCGTCTAACATAAGAGCCTTGCAATATAAGAACTGCCGCCTTCAAGGTAGATACGAGATTACCCAATCGGTTGCCACTGAGGTGAGGCGCGCCGCAGAAAAATCTCACAACACATACTTGGTCCCATCACGCTACTATATAAGACTATGCTGCCACGTCTTTTACCATACTGGTCATGTGTTTATTATCTTTACGCATTTTGACATGGCAGTGAAAAACAGCACTCACGCCCTGGTGGATTTGGGCTTCATGTAATTATATACTGGCCAAGGTTCGTAGCGTATGAGTACATTAATCATCGCGTGAATATTTCGAAAATGTTAACTCCAACCTTGTTTATTTTAGCAGTTGCCCAAAGAAAGTTTTTTAAAAAGGAGCCAGAGAAAGGTTTGTGATTGATTCCAAGTCGAGTTCAGGGATATGCTATGAGTCATGCCAATCTGGAGGTTTTGGGCGGAATGTCACGTATATTGGATCGTAGACTTGTAACTCTGCTACCTTCGTGTATGCGAAGTTCCCGCAGTAGTCTCACATCTGTGATCAAGTTGCGAAGGCAGATTCCTATGAAATACAGCAACTAAGTTGAATCGTACAGGAACATGTTAACAAACGACGGGTAATAGAGGCGGTGTTCGTTGTCATTTTGAAGGTAACACCCGGAGATATGCCTGTCAAAAGCAGGAGGAACGTCAGTGTGGTTAGCTGGTTCTTTCGCCGAAAACTGGAACTGGTTGCAACTCCATGCCGCAGTGCGTTGCAGCTGGGGTACTTTAGAAAACTTTGCTACGAGAGCTTCAGTTTTTGCATCCTGTTGTGTGCTAGTGTTTAATAGTCTGCACAACAAATTCTAGATAGTATATCAGCAAGGGGAGACGGCCTCTTTGGTCTAGTGGTCAGAGTTCCTGGCTACAGATACAGAGGTCCGGGTTAGATTCCCGCCGCTACCAGATATTTTTCTGAGAAGTAGTGGGTCTGGAACGGGGTCCACTCAGCCTCATGACGATAATTGAGGAGCTGTTTCAAGGAAATAGCGGCTCCGGTCTAGAAAACCGAAATTAACGGCCTCGAGGACACCCTCTATTCGCAAAAGTTGGCACTAACTTCGTCGACAAGCGGCGGTCGCTCGGTCGGTATAGTTCGCTTGCGGACTACAGGCCACGGAGTTTGTTTTGTTTTATATCAGCAAGTGGATAATTGAGGAGCTGTTTCAAGGAAATAGCGGCTCCGGTCTAGAAAACCGAAATTAACGGCCTCGAGGATTCGTTGCGCTGACCACGCGACACCCTCTATCCGCAAAAGTTGGCACTAACTTCGTCGACAAGCAGCGGTCGCTCGGTCGGTATAGTTCGCTTGCGGACTAAAACCACCGAGTTTGTTTTGTTTTATATCATCAAGTGGATAATTGAGGAGCTATTTCAAGGAGATAGCGGCTCCGGTCTAGAAAACCGAGATTAACGGCCGTGGGGATCCGTTGCGCTGACCACGCGACACCCCCTATCCCATAAATTTGGCAATAACTTCGCCGACAAGTGGTGGTCGCTCGGTCGGTATAGTTCGCTTGCGGACTACAGGCCACGGAGTTTTTTTATATCAGCAAGTGCCAACTCATTAGTCTATTTTCTTAAGGCTCGATATGTTTCGATCATTTTTGATCCTCATCAGGTGCAAGAAATGCAATTTGAGTTTATCTCATAATTGTAAATTTTGTTGCATCTGACAGTGATTGGTAATGATCTAGAAATGTCGTGTTTTAACAAATATAGACTAGTTGATTTATATTTACTGATCATCTGTATTTGTTGTGTAGACGGTCAACCATTGCAATCAAGCTCTGTAAGCCGTTACCGTATAATAGTTGTCATGTATTCAAATTCGGGAAGTCCTGGATTTGATTCCCGATACTTATTTCGACTGCATGGCTATCATATCAATTTCCTAATCCATGACGTTGGATGGGCCCCGGTGGCAAAGATGAAAATGCTTGTTCTTGTGGGGAATCTGTTACCGGTCACTTCGTGGTGTTCCGCCGTGCATGGAGTCTACTTTTTATTAGGTGAATTGTAAAGCAACACACCCTCCTGTCCTCCAGGAATGAGACTGAGCGTGGTTTGCATCGGCAATGACACATCGTATCGCATTATTTATCTTGTGCGGGAAGACATTTCCATCGTGTAATGTGCACCTTATTGCAATCTAAGGTGTAAGGTAGACATTCGAACCAACTGAAATAAAGAAATCCGCAGTTCTAATATTTCTTTTCAATGGCTCTACAGCCCCCATGGGCCCTGGTCTCTGATTTTCAGTTTCATGATCATTTTACATACGGTAGGACTACTTGGACGAGTGATAAGCTCGTCGCTAGGCCTCTACCTAAGCACAGGACAACACAGACACAGAATAAACACTTACACATACCAAGCATCCACGCTTTATATGGGATTCGAACCCATCTTCCCGGCTTCCGAGCAAGCGAAGTCAGTACATGCCTTAGACCGCTCCGCTACTGTGACCAGCGGCAATTCTAATAAAATACACGGTAAATGCTATCTCTGACGGTTATTTCAACCCTTCTTTCAGCATGCCCTGTGTTTCTGACATTTGTGAAGAGTAAGAAGCTAGTTGATGGCTGGTGAGCGTTGTGCTGATTTGCAGTATGTATATAAAGGAGAGTGATACTGCTTAACTGAACCTGCTCAGTAGCTGCTCTGTACCCCTTAAAACTGAAAAAAAAAACTCCGTGACATGTAGTCCTCAAGGGAACTGTACCGGCCGGGCGATCGCCGCTTGTCGGCGAAGTTAGTGCCAACTTTTGCCGATAAGAGGGTGTCGCGTGGTCAGCGCATCAGATCCCTACGGCCGGAGCCGCTACTTTTCCATTCAAGTAGTTCCTCAGTTATCCTCACGAGGCTGAGTGGACCCCGTTCCAGACCCATTACTTCTCAGAAAATCTGATAGCGCCGGGAATCGAACCCGGACCTCTGGATCTGTAGCCAGGAACTCTGACCACTATACCACAGAGGCGGTCTCTCTGTGACCCTTAGCTTGTGAAAACCCATTGTTAGCTTTCCCATCTCTGTATGCCATTTATCGCTATAAACAGTTTTTACAGCGAACTCCTGTCTGTTTTGCCGCCAAGAAAACAATAAAATTACCAATTTTAAAAGTTGCGATCTAAATTGTTTTTTAAATATAATTCGGTATATTTTGCCTAAACCCCTAAATATTTTGGCGTCCGTCAAGCTGAACGTTGTATATTATGTACTTTTTTTACGAGAAGACCCTGATCATGAAATACTGAAGTTCTTGCACGCTTTGCACATGCACTACTGCAATGGATTCTTTTCCACTCATTGCTGACACAAGAATAATTCTTTGTCTTTAATCGCGCTAACTTCCGGTGTTACGCTTGTACACATTCGACAGGTTTGTGTTACATATGTAATAATAAGCATCATAACGTCTTGAAATTCTCACGGTGTTGACTGAAGGATTCACTCTTCTGGGATGCGACGTCTTGTAGTCTGGTAGAAATTTACCGATATTTCGGAGGTACTTACTGCCTCCATTTTCAGGGTCGAAGAGTAAGCCCAGCAGGAAAAGAAGCAGCCAGAGTCACATCCCAGAGAATGGTACTCTATGGCATCTTATTCATGTTCCGGTTCCTGTCTTTAATATTAACTTGTAACCACCATATCCAGCAAACTCCATGGAGCCGAGCTCTTTTTGAGAAGCCTCCAGTCGCCCAGCCCCTCAAGAATTTCCTAACGTTTCATGGAGCCGAAGATTCATTACCGTGTTCACAGCCCTCCACCGATCCCTATCATGAGCCAGATCAATGCAGTTCGTACCACCCCAGCTTATCTCTCTAAGATCAATTTTAATATTATCCTCCCGCTTACGTNATTTCGGAATAATTTCTACTCCTGAAATAATATTTCAAGAAGATTATTTTTTCTATAATTTCTGTCTGAAAATTGTGCTGCGGCCTATACACGCACGCGGCCTATACATGCGTAAATACGGTATACTTGGAGAAGAGTTCGAGTTATGAAGCTCCTCATTATGCAGTTTTCTCCACCCTCCTGTCACTTCATCCCTTTTCTGCACCTGTAAGCACCATGCTTATATTAACTTGTTTTCGTAACTTTGTTCAGTTGCTGCTTAACCTATTCGGAATTTGAGTTTGTTCTTAGTGCTTGGAGAGTTTGATGCATCTTTGTGTTTGTTTCTTTGTGTTACTGTTTGTTTGCACTTCTGCAGATGGAACAGCAAGCCCCGCAGCAATAACGAAACTGAGCGAGGACGTACTGAAGAAGAAAGTGACAGGTAATTACAAATTTGCTATGACAATTAGGCTGTGTAGTGTATAAGCGATCTTGACCTGCCGAAGCAAGAGGAAGCTCCACAATCACCCTCACTTATCATCTGGGGCTGGTACAATAGGCCAGAAGTGGCCGCAGTACAAGGAACTTAGTCCCACCCCACTAGCAATAAAGAAAAGAGGAAGCTCAGTAGGTGTACTCCAGCCCGTGGTATGTTTTCCTGGCCGCCTCCGTAACCACATATAATTAAGCCGATTTTTAATATTAATTCAAACTGTAAGACAAGAGACATTTTTGAACGTCTGAGCACTGTTAAATATTTTCGAAAAATTTTATTATTATTATTATTATTTATTATTATTATTATTATTATTAGTAGTAGTAGTAGTAGAAATACTAGTAGTAGTAGTAGTGTGTGGTGGCGCCCGCACCTCCATAGGCATCAGTGAATTGTGCCCGAGTACATAAGAACGTTGGACATCACTGGTGTACTCCATCTACTATGTGAACGAGGGTGCGGCATTATCAGTTAATGACGTAGACTGTCACGTCATCAGTAGAAAGTTCCGAGATTCTGTCGGTTTTTTAATACTGTGGCGAGAAATTCAGACGTAGTTAAGCGGAACCCTTCTTCCATAATGTTGCCTACACAAGACATGACGTGTCCTGGTTCGTAGAGCAGATGGACGTCACCAAGTTACTCATGACTTAAGCTTTATGAACTACTGTTGGCGAACAGCCGGCTGTGACACGGCGCTCGTGCCGTCAATTTGTAAGGTATGTTAAGTTATAAGAACTCTGCAGTAGAAATTACGCTCTTCCAGAGACCTATTACAGTAGTCTTAAGTATTCTGTTACGCCTGGGTGTTTAGTAGAACGGCGAGTTAATATAATGTTCATTAATTTGTCATTTGAATTGATATCGCATGTGCTTGGTTTTGCCCCTGCTTTTAACGCATTTTACTTGTTTTTGCACATGTTTCTCTCTGTTTACTTGTATTTGCGCCTGTTTTTTACATGTTGCATTATTCTTATCATGTAGGGCAGCCATGTCAAACATGCGGCCCCTGAACTTTTAGAGCTAATTGATATTAAAATCAATATTAAAATTTTAGTAGAAATATTTTTTATAAAGAGAATTTTCCAACAGACCAGAAGACAAGAAGTCTCACGCAGACATAAATTAGCAGGCTGCAGGAAATTCAATGTTTTGCTATTTCTAACGCAATTTCTTGTGTAATCTCTCTTTTTACATATTGAAAAGCTGTTTGATACTTGTCAAAAATGGCATTCTCCTGCTTTTTAAAACTGTAAGATATGTGACTTTAGGTAATTATATTGAAATTATTCCTAAATAATAAATATAATTAAATTTCCTTGTATCAAAAGCTAATGTATATTTATATTTTGAAGTGCGGCCCTGGACTATTATTTATAGGGCTGAGGTGACCCTCTTCACAAGTTGAGTTTGACATGCCTGATATAGGGGGAGGTGTAGAGGAGGTTCATGCCTCGAAGGCAAGGGAATCAAGAACTGTGTGTTCCATTCTTTACACAGCTGACATTAAAATCCAAACTAAGCAACTGAGTATCACAAGCCCGTGTTTAGTAATCAAATTGAGATCCGGTAGGTGTCGGAAGGCAGTATTTCCTGAAGTAACTCCTTTTCTGCAAACACTGGCGTCTAATATAGTGCAGTTCATATCGTACGTAGTGAAGAGTATTAAGTCTTAAACCAAACATTCAGAAATAGTTTCAGGCCCACTTTATAGAGGCATTAGCAGTACGTAGTGCAGTACTTTTCAATAAAGTGAATGATAATGCGTTTTAAAGGTAACATTCTTCTTGGGGATATGTGGGGTTGAGGTAAAGTTCATTACATTGGAGTCAGGGTGGATCCTGAAATCTGTTCGGACGTGCTGGCGAAGAGATAAATATTGTCCCTTCCGGGCATCGAGTCATGGTCCTGCAGCTGCTTTACTGACTGGTCGAAATTGCCTCGTGATGCGGCTGATTGATGGACGTAGTCTGTAATTTCACAGTTAATTGGCAGTGAATATAATTGCCTATATATTGCACATGTTATGCATAGTCACTTGGATGGAAGGTCAGCTCACAAACAGGATAAAAGCTATTTTATTCCCTTCACACGTCATATCGAATTATGTTTGTGCTGTGTGATAGTATGCATATATTTTATATGTGAACATGTTTGAGAAATATCCAAGTTTCGTAGCCGGCGGACATATTTCGCACGAAACGGAAGCACTCACTCACTGCCTGTTCATACATGCATGAGCATTGTGTTGAGAGTGGTTTTGTGTTTCCCTTTGTCATTCTCATCGCCGGAGTAATGAACGGTCAAACCATGATTCAGATTTATCACGAGTAATTCACTTAGTAGCCGGTCACGGTAGCCGAGCGGTTTCAGGTATGCACTGTCTTCGCTCGCTCGGAAGCCGAGATCGTGGGTTCGAATCCCACTCAGGGCATGGATGTTTGTGTGCGTTTTTCTGTGTTTGTCTACAGGTAGAGGCCTTGCGACGAGCTGATCACCCGCCCAAGGAGTCCTACAGAATGTGTAAGATCTAGAAAAACCGAAGTGAACGTAGTTCATGGAGGTAGGCCTAGGCCCACTGGGGCTGTAGTGCCAAGGAAAAAGAAATCACTTACTGGAAGTACGGTGAACCGTTTTTGCGCAGTTGTATGAAATAGCTTAGATTACATTTGGTCTTGATATTATGCACCTGTGTGTCAGACACGATTAGGTAACTTTTGCAACTAAATACCTGGGATAGTTTTAACAAATTTATTAATATCTAATTCTTTCTTCCTCTTCACTCCCACTTTGGAGCATAGGGCTGATTTTTCAGTTTCATTTACACAGACGGTAGGACTCCTTGGACGCGTGATCAGCTCGTCGAAAGGCCTCTACCTAAACATAGGACAACACAAACACAGAATAAACGCATACACACACCAAATATTCATGCCTTGTGTGGGATTTGAACCCACGATCGCGGCTTCCGAGCGAGCGAAGATAGTACATGCCTTAGACCGCACGGCTACTGTGACCGGCTATTAAATATTAAATATTAAATATTTTCTGAGTGTGCTGTAAGTCTCAATGATTCTTACAGTATGACTTTGCTGGGCATGTAGGGAGAGAAGGATTCTTGTTACTTATGAATTTGTAGTCGGCTTGCTCGCTTAGGTGACTTTAAGAGTAATCTTGTTGTCTCCTTACATGTCCTGCAGAGTCATCATACAGCAGTGATAATCGGCGAACTGGCAGAAACCCCCGCCTTACCATTTTTAGATCCATAAATTCATAAAATTGTGAGTTGCATGAAGGAACTGACTGATCATGACTCACGGCTGCGTCATTTCACAAACATAATCTAATCACAGGCTATCTTTATACCGTTGTGCAAAAACGGCTCGCAGCACTTTAAAGGTACGGCAATTAACAGGCATACATCGTAATCGGAACATTATTGCAGTAGGGTGAAAATGAAGAGAAGACATAAAACCAGCCTTGACACAGTACTCACACTGGCACTGAGCGTGGTACTGTGAGAGATGTGTCCGCTACTTGTAAAAGTAAAGATTTCTCAAACATACCCATATGCCTCACGGTAACACGAATAATACGCGCAAGCTATTACACTGCACAAATGTGGTGACTCCTTATCACATACGAAGGACGTAAAAGCGGATTTCTTCTGTTTGTGTCAACATTCAATTTGCCAGTATTTAATTTATTATTATACCGGTTTATGAAAATGGTCTTTATGCTTAACATTTGTTAAAAATGAAAAGACTGAAGTTAAACACCATTAGTAAAACAAAGTTTCCGCGAGATTCGACGCAACTCCTACCACTCCAGCCTTGGTCACTGGTGGCGGTCGGTACAATGGCTGACACGGCTACACCTGATGGCTTAAGACTGGAGTTACGTCGATCCTCACGGAAACTTTGAGAGCTTTCCTTACTAATGGAATAAGTTTCACTTACGTAAGTATATCAGTTGTTTTCGTAATAAATGTTTGAAACTGTTGTGGCATATTTGCTCAAAGCAAGAACTGTGGAGCCAGAGAAACAGCCATTGCTATGTAACGGCTGTATAACACACAGCAGGAGTAACTGTTGGAAGCGGTGTTTTTGTGTATAACGCACGCAGTCACAGGAGCAAGACACAACACAGAGCACAATTCACATGAATGTAGGAAGAGTGCTCCCACAGAGGAGGATTGGCGTGATTCGCGTATTGAGATACGACGTAAGGATAACGAATCCTGAAAAGTTTTAATATTTAAAATTTATTATTATACATGACGAATATATATTTTAGTCACTTTAGTATGAAGACACCAGGGCATGCAATGCAGTAGTTAGACGTACATATAGACGCACCTGAAGATGGCACATTAGTGCTGAAACATGTAGTGTAAAAGAGAAGAGTAAGGTGAAAAAGTGTGTGCACTGTAAGACGGTTAGCATAAATCATGGACTTAGGGCCCCCATAGACACACAGTTTGGCCTCCAGTTCGGCCTGCACAGTTGAAGACTGAAAGGCAAAACTGACGTGTGTGGTGCGGCCGGCCGGCCGGCCAATCGTTTGGACTGTTGGCCCGTGGGAAACCCGTCAGTCCGTCAGTGCTGCCTGCAGGACGTAGCACGTGACGTGTGTGACTCAGCATTATAAGCTGGAAGACCGTGATTGTGGCATGAAGCTTGCCGGTTTATCTGCGCGTGTATGGGGTAGGAAAGGGAGGAGGTAAACTGTCACAGTTTTGCCTGTAAGGTCGATCGGAAGGCCAAACTGTGTATGGGGGGCCTTAAACCAAGTGTGATATAAAGAGGAAGAATTGCACATGTACCTGATCACTTTAGTTGCAATTCAAGGGTTATCACGGGTCGGTAACCAGAAGATTGCCATATCTTCTCACCCGTCCTTGAACTGTCGGCAACTAGTCGATCTCTCGGAAAGGCTGCCAGAAACAGCGCCAAATTGTCAGCAACCTGCATTGTTCAGTGTCGCTAGTCATAATCAGCAACACATTTGCACACGTTGCCGTAAAAATTTGCTCGTCTAAACACACCTCAAGGGGAATAGCGAATTTGGTGATTAGAGTGGTGAGGGGAATATTTGGACCTCGAACGGAGGAAGTACTGGCATTACGTAATGAGAAGTTTGCACTCTTCCGTCAGATTCTGCATTTTAGGACGATCAGATCGAGATGGGCGGGACGCGCTCGGGAGAGATGAGTCACAGATACAAAATGTTACTCGGAAAACCTGAAGACAGGAGAGATGTAAGGGTGACTGGGTAGATGATACAAGACAGTAAGATACGAGGATGCAGACTCTGTTAATCTGGCTAATAATAGGATTTGTGGTGTTATAAACACTGTGATGGATTTCTAGTTCTATAAAAGTCGATGTACTATTTCTCCATTAACTAAGGGACTCTTACCCCCTTAAGGAGTCGGATATATGGAATTAGTTAATTACAGCCCTTTCCTTAGTTTCAAGATGTATTAAGCGCAGTAAAGGACTGGTCATTGAAGCTAGTTAATGTAATAAAATTGTCCCACTGATGACGGTCTCCGTGCCACGATTTACACACCCGCATTCGGAAAACAAAGAAGGGAATTTTAACAATACATTATTTCATTCTTTTCATGCACTGTAACGGTGTGGTACTAAGCCACGGAATCTAACTTGCGTGCTGATTTCAAATCATTTACCTAAATGACTTATTTTACAATGGTGTCAATAACGGTTGGCCGCGCCATAGCTCAAACGGTTAGTCACTGGCTTTCCACCGCGGCGTCCCGGGTTCCATCCCGGGGTCTGGTCAAGTGGGATTTGTGGTGGACAAAGTGGCGGTCGGGCGGGGGTTTCTCCGAGTACTTCGGTTTCCCCTGCCAATCATCATTCCACCAAATTCTCCATCATCATAATCACCCGGGGCAGGCTACAACAGGCCACTCAGTGGCCGCCGTGCCGAATGGACCCAGTTGGACTCCACCCTCCATTAATGGAATTAAAAAAAATAAATTTAAAATGGTGTCAGTATATAGACTATATATAAAGCCGAATGATAGAACGATTGTGATAGTGAATGATGGATTGGGAAGGATTTAGAAGGAAGCGGTCGTGGCTGATCGATACGCCGTCTCGGTATCAGCTTGAACGGACAGGGAAAACCCACATAGAACATCAGCCAGGATAGCTGGTCTCGCGACCAAGTTTCGAACCGAGCACCACTGGAATACAGGTACAGAGCGTTATCGCTGCACCGTTTTGCTTACCGAAGTGCGACAGTTGCTGCAAGAGCGGCAAGCAGGACAAGCTTACAGCATCACACAAGTGAAACACGTGGTAATAAAGAAAACGAAACGTTTTAAGCGTCTCCTGAAACAATTGTTGCCAGCTGCACATACGCTCATACTCGTATGTGAAAGCGGAGGTTAAGCATAATACCATGTAAAATCCCGAAACTCTCTATCCAAGATCCACCAAAGTAGTAACGTAGTCAGATAGAAAAACGGCCTTATGAATCTACTGATAATGCATTTGTTGAAACGGATGTGGTGCGGCATTGTGTATCGCAAAATACAGGATTATTCATAAGTTCGTGAAACATTTTGAAAATTTACAATAAATAAACTACGCAACGGATACCAAATTTTATTACACTGAAATGGATAAACTCACCAGTTTTTTTTTACATAGTTCACAGATGCTCAATATGTCCAGCTTTGCTGATACGGCAGACATCTATGCAACAATCCATTTCGTCGCACACCCCTGTCAAGATATCACGATTGACCAGAGCGACAGCAGCAGTGATACGGTTGCGAAGATCCTTGAGATTAGCAGGCAATGGAGGCTTAAAGAAACTTGGAGCGATTCATTCTCTATCGGCGTAAGAATTACCATGATCCGATGCATAGTTTATTTGTTGTGAATTTTTAAAATGTTTCACGGAATAACCCTGTATTATGGCGTAAGTTGGAATTAGTCACCGCCCTTTCAGTTTATCACAGCTTGTGCCGAATATCAATCGCGCTTGACCTACGGTGAAGCGGCTTGAGGTCACGTATTTTTTAGGCCAAGGATATACCGCATTGTACTCTTGTTGCTTATTGTAGTGAAGACACAGGCCAGGATTTACGTTGGTCAGGATGACCTTGCCATATTAATTTTCACGTAGTTTGTTGTAGGACCTATATGTATGTCATGATCAGATTGATGTCATAGAATAAAAAAAAAATGGGATTTACGTTTAGTTGAACGTAGGCAACGTAGGCAACGTAGGCAACGGGCTGGACGACCGAGGAATTGTGGTTTGATTCCTGTTAGGAGCAAAAGATCTTTTCTCTTCTCCATAGCATTTGGACATGCAGTGGGAATTACCCAGCCTCCCATGTAATGGGTAGAGGGGCCATTAAAGCGAAAGTGCCATGAAGCTGACCACTCACCTTCGTCTAATGCCAAGGTTAAGAGTGGTAGAACTATTCCTTCGCTCCTTGTGACACTTTCATGGTGTAGTGCTTAATTAATTAATTGTGAGAATAACTACCTTCTGCTTGATTGAAGATTGGTTGGAAGCTTATCCCATTAAAACTGCTGGTTTTATATTGTGTATTCAACAAGAGTTGTTCATAGAAAATATGAAATATGTGAATTCTTGTTTATGTGCATACAGTTATGTATGAATGTATGTATTTAAATATACATTAAAAAAATAACTGTTCTGAAAAAGAGTTTCAGACGTTACAAATATGATATCTAGTGAAACATGTCTTGAAAAATGATGAATCATTGGGAAATGTTGTGGAATTGTCTTTTGGAATATAAATTCTTATGGAGGTGGTAGTAAGCATGCACTTTTCCACTCTCCTTTTCAGTCAGTTGTGGATCTGGCACAATGAAAGTAAAAGAATGGACCTTCAAGGTATAACATACCATATCTTAAAATTAGATCAGGAAAATATGCTGCTGAAAATTAATTCAGTGATTCCAATATGAAATAGGCACCAGGACAGTTAAGGTGGCCCAGTGACAGGCTATGGGATTCATGGCTGGGGTTTGATGCCTGACAGGGCCAAGAGATTTTTCTCTGTGCCACAGCTTCCAGACTTGCTTGGGGGCCTTGCCAGCCTCCTGTCCAGTGGGTGCTGAGGCATCTTTCCTCTGGGGCTAAAGAGGGCTTGTAGCTGACCACTCATCTCTATCTAGTGTTGAAGTCGAGAATGGTGGACAATATACCTCTACTCCCTCATATTTCCTTCATGGCATGGTGCTTAATCAGTTAAGCACAGAGACAACTTTACATTTCTTAACCACATCCTTCTACATGTGGGAAAGTGTTACATACGCGATGACATTGCATGATCTTACTTTCTTATCTATTGGTGCATGGTAAAATAGTGTCATGATCTCTTACAATATATTACATTTTTATAAATTCAGGAAATACAATATTGATTATAGTTCTGACCCCTTTTTGCCAAAGTAAAACTCTAAATCCAATCTTACACACTTACATGGTTTAAGATAAATCATATGATAGCCAAATATAAGCGGTATTTTGTTTTCTTTGTTAATGTACTCACTCATTCTTGGAGCTGAGCCCTTTTTGAGAAACCGCCAATTGTGCAGCTACTCAAAAACTTCCCAGCATTTTATGAAACCTGAAGGTTCATTACCATGTTCACAAGAGACCTCCATTGGTCCCTCTACTGAGCCAGATCAATCCAATCTGTACCATCCCACCCTATATCTCTAAGATCCATTTTAATATTGTTCACCCACCAATGTCTCTGTCTTCCCAGTGGTCTCGTCCATTCTGGCTTTCCTACCGAAATCCAATATGCATTCCTCTTTGCCCCCATACATGCTACATGCCCTGCTTATTTCATCCTCCTCGACTTGATCATTCTAATTATACTTGAAGAAGAGTACAAGTTATGAAGTTCCTCATTATCCAGTTTCATTGCTAATTCACAATTACTTTAATATTCAATGTACCTACTATCTTTAAGCTACCACACTTTCTTTTTTTGAAATGGGTCTTTTGTATGCCTGTCTCATCTAGTGTAAACTGAATAAAACATTTATTTCCCTGGGGAAGTAGATAAAGTTACATTGTCCTTTAGTAGGCCTGTGTGATGAAATCACATGTTCATATACCTGATTATCCCCCCCCACCACCACCAAAAAAAATTTATGAGTGCATGAATGTCTTTAAAAAGTGACAGGTAGCTGTATCTTCATGACTTTCAAACAAGCTCTGATCTCTTATTTGAAAGAATGTCTTCACAGTTTTGGGTTGTTATTCTGTATGCAATCTGTAGGATATCGTATTTTGATCATGTTGCTGCCTGTTATATGTTGCATGTGCACTGGCTTTTTGTGTAGCATGTTCTGTTATATGTTGCCTGCTGACAGGTGGTTCCATCTTCAGTGAACAAGGGGACAGTAGGCGTGCCAGTGAAGATATTTTAGCCAGAAGGAAGAGATCTTCTGGTGGGTATTTCATTCTGTAAGATTTCCTAATAGCTATAATACCTTGACATTGCCTATATGTAGGAGAATTTGGTGCCTATTAGAAGGGATTTAAAATCCATGGAAATTTCCAGCAAAAGTTTATACTGTAGCTGATTTATAGTCATTCTTAATGAAATTAATATAAATATGTATTATTTCCTTTTTATGAATTCAGTATTAAAAGCAAATTAAAGCAAAGATATCAGCAGTAAATAAATGTATATCATACTGGATACATGATGACCATTAATTAGAGTGAAATATGATACACACTTTCATTTATTCCATGAAGGAAATATTGTTGAAATCAGCCATAACTCATATTATTACAGCCATGTTTTAATTTGAATTTCTGGAATGTGTTGCTATTATGTCTCGTTGATATTTATTCAGTTTCAGAGGAAAATCTTCTAATGTTGTACTTGAAATATGAGTCACATCCCAGAACACATTGGTCTTCATAGTCACTGCCATTCCAAAATTGGAAATCAAATTGACGTGTGTAGGTTAACAAAGATTTTATGCATACATACAATTGGAAAGACTGGTGTTTTAAATTTTAAACTACGGGCAGTGTAGCAGCTACGTAAGAATATACAGCTGATGATGGCCATTTAGGGCCGAAACATGTAGTGTAAAGGAAGGAAAGAAGAAAGAACTACAATTAAATTGTTGCACTTAAGACGGAGTTTGTCTCATATATTGTATGAGTGTAATAGGATGCTTAAATATAATATTGGAATCCATACTAAGCAAGATTTCATAGATATGTTTATTTCAGAGGAGGAACAAGTTATCCCTTCATAATTTCCTATCTGTTTGCTCCATTTCTGTATACACTGTCTCTGTTTTGATTTCTCTCTTTATATATTTATGCATGCTTCTCTTAGTGCCTGGGTTTGGTATTGTCAGTAGTTAGTTTATGTTTATCTGCATCAGTTTTTACTGACAGGAAGAAGGTGATCCTTTTTTATGTGTTTGTATATGAATCAGTAAATATGTATTTTCTCTGACTTAATAGTGAAATTATGCGACACAGAGAGTTGAAGCTTGTTACTGTTGGAAGAAAATTTTAGTAAAATTAAATTATATTATTGTTTTGCACATGTCCCATTAGGGGGAACACAGTAGTGTAATTGGTTGAGACACTATGCTACAAGTTGGAAGGTTACGGGTTCGATTCCAGATGGGCCCATTGGATTTTTCGATTGACCTAATCCTTCCAGCCGCCTTATGGCTTCGGGGTTGACTCAGCCTCTAACAGAAATGAGTACCAGGAATCTTCCTTGGGGTAAAGTGCAGGTAAAGGGCAGCCAGAACATAACGCTGACAGCTCAATGCCATCTGTGAGCCGATTATCTGGAAAATGTGGGACCCTGATGTCTCACAACTCTGTGGTCCTCCACAGCTTGTTACAGGGATGGCATTATTGTTTTTTTTTTCACCTTTTCATATCCCATTTGTGCATACTTTGTAACATATATAAACTTTTCTTGTAGTATGCACATATATTTCAAAGTTCCTGTCAAGAAAGAAGGTGACAGTTTGTACTTTTGCATGTGAATGTATTGCTTTGTGCTGTCTTTTCTTCATGCCTGTCTGTATTGCACTGCCCTGAATGCTGTGTTGCATGTGCTGTGTAGATGCAGGTTCGGCCAATCTTGATGCACTGTGGGAGAGTGATCGCAGACTCAGCGAAGCTGGGGTGAGACGTACCTCAGGTAGGTTTACTATTGGTGATCTTTAATGGTGTATTGTGAGGTAATGGAAATCTTCAGTTGATAGTTTACAGTGTTTTATTATACAGCTGTTTCAGTTAGCAAATAGTGTGAGTCATTTATTAAAACATTACAAAAAATGAAATGTTCATTTTCTCCATTTCACATTTATTGTTTATAATCCTTCATTATACAGTGCAACCATAATTAGAAATTCACATCTTTTATAACTAGTGCAACTTTAATTAAGACAGTTCTCTAATAAGTATCATGTTTTTGGACATTATCCATCATCTTGTCTATATTTAAAAATATTTATATATGAATTAATATTATAAATATAACAATATAATGAATATAAAATAAAATTAGTTNAATTCGGAGAGGAAAAGGTCACAGAAATACAAATATTTATGTCGCAACATCAGGGACTGTAAAATCTTAAACAATACCATTGTTCTGCCAAAGGGATGAACAAACATGCCTTAGTTTAAGTTAAATAATATATTTGAAATGCACTGCATCACATTTTAATTGAATAGCATCACCAGTACTCGTGATAGAAGACATTTATGTAGCTGTTTGAATACCAATTTGTAGTCTGGGTTAGAAAAATAATGGTATGAAATGTAAGAGGTTTAAGAATCATGCATGGTTATACACCAAAAGTTCAAGCAGTGCAAGCTTTAACATGAGCGTGATTACTTCCAGATGCCAGTGTTGTGCTGACGGAGGACACGGACAGTTTTATCATCGGTGATCGAGTATGGGTGGGTGGTACAAAGTCTGGACAGATTGCCTACATTGGTGAGACACAGTTTGCACCAGGAGAATGGGCTGGTGTAGTTCTGGATGAACCAGCAGGTCAGTTACACTTTCCCCCCTCCCCCCCCCCCAAAAAAAACATGATTTGTACCCTGTGTTTTATTTTTTCACATTAACAGAAATCTCTCCACAGTGACACATCTCACATTCTTGTAGTTTTGATGGCTATTTCAACACAGAACACTTCATCCAGTTGACTTCAAGCAGAACACACTGTTCAAAGTTGATTTCCCATATTTTAAAAATTTGAGCTATCTCAACTTTACTAATGATCAACAGTTGCCATTTTAATGGTGTACAGGGGAGCTAGATAGCTATGGTAATTTTTGTGACCCCTGTATGAAGAAGTAATTTTGAATCTTGATTGAAATATTTTGTAGTCTACCTTTGTTCCTGTAGGCAGACTGCAGGGTAGTGTGTTAAAATGAATAGACCACAGTCATGTTTTTCTACCTCCCTTCCAGCTTGTGTTTATATCATACTGCCTCCTCTAATGCTATATTTCCACAGTACTCTACTAAAAAACACAGTTCACTCTATTGATTTGTTATTAATTTATTTAGAATGCCAGCACCCTTGTTAATAAGATTGTTTTATTGTATAATTTATCTCACATCATTCATTTCCTCTTTTGGTCAAAATGAACCTTTTATAGTTTCTTAAGTGAAAGCTTGCTGTTATGTTTCCTTAGCACATTATTCACCATTCTCACAATAACGAACCAGAAGAATTGTTTAGTATTAAACAACAGAGGTAGTTCACATTAGACTTATGATTATTGAAGTATAGTGATTTATTATGATATTATGTAATAATGTTAATGAACAGGAAAGAATGATGGCGCAGTGGCTGGTGTACGCTACTTCCAATGTGAGCCACGGCGTGGGGTATTTTCTCGTCTCACACGTCTCACTAGAACTCCCCTCCAGCAGAGTGATTCGGATTCTGGGACAGGTGGTGACAGACATGCCCATTCACGGCCAACTAATGGGACATCTTCAGGAATAACGTCACCAGTCCGTCGGCTCACACCTATTGCCTCCCCTTCTGGCAGCATGAAAGATCTTCATCTAAAGAAATCAACATCTCCATCACTGAGTAAGATAATTATTTTGTGGATAACAGCATGTGTTAAAGGAACTGCTTTGTGGAGAAATATTCTCGAAATGTTGATGGGGGTGATGTTGGAGATTCTGTGTTTCTTTATTACAATGTCAATGCAATTGAGGCAGTATGATGCATTGTATTAAAGTATTAGTAAATGTTTTCCCTGGTTGTAACTTACTCTAAAGTGTGAAATCTGATTATAAATGTACACTCTCATATCAAATAAGATTAAGCATGTGTGAACATGAAAACCTGTCACTTATATTTCATAGTGTTAATAGGTGTCTGCTAACATGGATGCCAAACATGTAGGAAACAGATATTACCAGGATGGTATTGTAGGACAGTGGTTCCCAAATCATAACATCACATCCACACAGAAAACAAAACAAAAGTTATGTATCATGTTTATATAGATTAAATCCTTTGTTGTTAAAATTTTGCATACCAGAGTTAGGCAGTATTGGATTTTTTACCCTCCTAGATACTGAATGAGTTAGTATATTTACCCCAGTAATTTATTGCAACACACAATTTTCATCTCTTAAGTATGAATGATAGGCAATTTTTTCCTTACATTTTGCTTAATTTTACCAACTTTAGATGTGAGCATGTCATGTGGCTAGGGCTCTATTCTTTTCCATCTGTAACACGTAATTTGAAACACTGATTTTCACTTTTAATTTTAACAAATTGGGACCAGTGTTAAAGGGATTGTGCACAAACATTAAATATGTCCACTGAAATATTACTGATGCATGTCTTTATGTCTTGAAAGCTTTCCTGTATCTATATTTTTGCTTAAATTAAACAGCGCAGGTCTCACAAATTTACAGTATAACAATATTAATCCCACACAGTATGAGATTATAAAAAAATTGTTGTTTTTCATTTTGTTTCTCAGAACCCTTGATGTCATAGGATAACTTGGATTAAAAGTCACGTACAAAATTTTTATCCTGAGTAAACTCAGTCGTCATATTCTGTTCGTGAGAGCACTTGTTAACCTGATTGTACTTGTCCACATGCTCTGTTATGTCTGTACTTGTTAAAACTGAAATAAAAATATATTTTGTAATGTGCTTTGGAAAACTGAAGAAAAAGAGGAAACTTTAATACAAGTAAAATACTGTACTCATTAGGAAACGCATGTCATGATGTTAAATGTCCATGAATAGATATTTATTGGAAGGGATACTTAAGCAGAATCTGAAAACAGTGTTATTGTCACACAGATTCATCAGTCACAAACTTGAATTCAACAAGTCATTCAGATCTGAAGCTTGGAGAACGTGTAATAGTGATGAGCAGTCAGGGCTCTAAAGCTGGTACCCTGCGGTACATTGGGTCCACCGAGTTTGCTTCAGGGGAATGGTGTGGAGTGGAACTTGATGATCCTTTGGGGAAGAATGATGGGTCTGTGGAAGGAAAAAGGTGAGAAAGAGCCAAATATGGAACGTTGAATAACTTTTCCTTCATTTGTTTACATTTTAATAGAGAAACAAGTTGCACAGGAAATTAAGAATATGTAATCATCACAGACATCTCTATCTATGTAGCCTTTTTTGGCTGTTATTCTTTAAAAGTTTTCATCTCCATGGCTCATCTTCAAGTTATATATCTCATTTGATTAATTTTGGCTGTACACAAGTGACAAAGATTAAGTCATTGTAATGGGAATTAATGTAGAATTTTTGTGGCAGGTACTTTGAATGTCAGCCCAAATTTGGGTTGTTTGCACCAGCACACAAAGTAAGTCGATCTCCTTCTAGCCGCCGTCCATCTGCTTCATGTGTGATCCATCATGGAACAGCAAGTCCAGGCATAAAGAGAGTTGGTTCACGAGAGTCGATGGTGTCAGCATCAAGTGCAGCTTCTTCTGTGCGTGGTGCCAGGGTAAGACTTGGTGTCACTTCATTGGGCAAGACTGTCCAACAGGTAGGCTAGTTTCCTTACAGAATAGGAAACCAGCCAAAAGGAGCACCAGAGAAAGATAAACTGATGGAATGCAGATATTTGATCCTTGCAATTTATCATTTAGTGTTTCTAAAATCTAAAACGGTTTATTTTAACAGTTACTACCATGTTACAAGGTAATGTCTATCTAGATTACTGAATGATTTCAACGTTAATATGAGGCTAGTTATCCATAATAATAATAAAGTAACATCTTATTTGATGGCTTATGGATGTAAGAAATAATTCAGCAGTTATCTTTGATTTTTATTCCACTGGAAGCATATCACAGAGATAACCTGATAATAGTTTCGTTAGAATTAATTGTAATTTGTCTCATTGTGTTGCACTTATGTAGCATTTAAAATTAACTAAGAGGACAGGAAATTTCTTGATAATATGAAATTCTTTGATAAATATGAACTGTCTTTGAAACCTGAGATGAGTTTCCAATAAGAGGTGTACACATATTTGTTAAGGTTCAGTTCCTTGTTCGTCAAAAAGAAATTCTAGTAAGAGTGTATATCTTCCTGTTTATATGGTGAGACTTACAGGAACTATACATTATATACATATAAATATGTCTTTGTGTTACAATAGCAATACAAATCGCACTGTGCTACTGCTCTGGCATGTCTGATATTAAGAAGAGGCTATTGTCCGTATGGCAAAATTGTTACAACATGTAGGATATAGTACAAATTAAGTGCACAGCCCATATTCAGCCATTTTGAATTAAGCTGGTATAATATTATGAGCCTGAGATGGTGGATTTAGTCTTACATGAAGAAATAGTAGAATGTAACTTATCTGTATGATTTAAGCGGCCTCCGTAGTCTAGGGGTAACATTCCCACCTCGTGACTCAAGGTACGTGGGTTCAAACCCGGCGGAGGTCGTGGAATTTTTAAGGGCGGAAAAATTCAGGGAACAGGTCCTCCGGGAGGGACTTTAAGCCGTGGGTCCCGTGTCATAGCTTTACGGCACGTAAAAGAACCTCATGTCCCAAGGGGACCACTGAGCCAAATTCAGGACATTTCCCGCCCAACAGTAGTCTCTAACGCCTCTGGTAGATGGGGGAAGCATCGAGATACCGCTGAGCCAGTAGAGGCCGAACTTGCTGGCTGAGTCGGGACTGATGGCACGCACCAGTACCGGTAGGGAATAGAGACTGGTAGAATATCATAGGGGGATGCACAATGGACCAACAGTTTGTCTAAGTGCATGGAGAAACCCACCCTCTCCAATACAATACAATACAATACAATATCTGTATGATTTTCTGTAGAGACATTAACTCTTCCATACAAGACAAAATCTGTAACTTCAGTGGTTTATCTTGCAATGCAGCTTATGTTTTTCATGGAGCACTTATTTTTAACATGTTAACAGGTTCAGGACAAATGTCATACTTTACCTCAATGCATTTGTTTTTGTGTTTGATTCACAGAACTGACAGTAACCATTTCTATTAGCTTACAATTCTTAGCACTGTGATAAAACTGTTCACATCCATTATGGTGCTGAAGACTGAGGGTGTTACATTAGCAAGGAGATTAATGCTAATACAAAAAAATTGTCACCACTCTCACCATCACTGACTGGATTAGAATAGTGGTAAGAGTCTAGACTTTTATTCGAGGGGGTGGGGTACTCCATTTGAATCTTGGCTGAGTCACACACTATCCTGACTGAGGTTTTTCGTTTTCCTCAGTCCCTCTATGCAAATTCCAGGATTAGTGCCTTAAGTATGCTCCTACCGCTTCCTTAAAATCCTTTCTGATTCATCACTCATCTGTCATCCTGCCATTCAGAGCTATGTTGTTTTGACTTTTGACTGACTCTTATAGTAACAGAGAAAATAATAATGACAATAACAACAACAACAACAACAACAACAACAATCGAAGCAAAATTGATGGGTTCTGCAATTGCAAGTGAATGCCCATAAAACATTATTACCCTATTCTGAATGCTAAAGTGCCATAGTACAGTGTAATATTTGTATATAACATGTTAAATGCTGTAGTTAAATATATTATTGGTGATGGTTTCTTACCTAATGTATTTTGATATGACTTGAATGGCATTTAACAGCCTCATTTTAAGGAATTCTGTCAGTTAAATATTACAAGGATTGTTTTGTAATACATAATTCAAGTTACTTTGTGATATGGTGGTAAGCTTTAACAAACTTTATGCTAATATAACACTACTCTTAGTGCTTTATGGTTACTATTATAAAAAATATATGTACTGTGTTTGAGGTTCTCACAGCAGTGACTATAGAGGTCCATTTTCTTGGATGCAAAACCATTTAGTCCAGTAGAAGTTCATTGTTGTTTCAGAGGAACTTAATGCCTCTTAATACAGGGTTGAAGAGTAAGCCAACCAGTAGACAGCAAGAAGAGCTGAGAAGTAAAAGTGTTTCCTGGCTACTTGCTTGGCTTCTTTTGACCATGGAGATGGAGGCAGTATGTTTCTCTGAACAGTCAACTTCTGCTGGTCTACATGGTGTTGCATCCTAGAAGATAATACGTTTAAAAACTGTATATAATTTGTTTGCCTTAATAATTGATGTACTATATATATGCATGGGTCATGAATTAAGATTCTATGAAATTAACCATCTCATAACTGAATAAGTGAACCAAATGCCAAATATGCAGCCCAAAGGTTTTGTTTTGTTATATTAGTTATGCTTGTTATCAAAGCATGGTATGATTTGTTATTATTAATACTTTTATATTCCTTGAATGTTTTATTTTTTCTGTTGCACCTTTTGAATGGTTTGTAACTAAAATAATTTAATCATAGTTATTATAAATTCTATTTTGGAAGTAGCATGAAATTGCTCTACTTAAATATAAATATTTGATTTCTTTGCTGTGGACAGAGTATTTTTCTGCCAACTGGAATGAATGGTTGTATTGTTTGATTATTACCTGCATGTATCTGTTTTGTTAACTTACTTTTCTCATTTTGTCTCCTGACTGATAATACTAATATTGTGCAATCCTACTCCTCTGTTTGTAGAAAGCTGGCGTTCGAACGCCATGTACTTCTGTTTCTACAAAGTCTTCGCTCCAGGTAAGGACATAAATTCATTTGCCATCTTTCGTGTTCCATTTATATATAAATATATTACTTTCATTGAAAGAGTTTTCATTTGAGAAAGAAGTATGCTTTAAATGTAACATGGATGTATTTATGTAAGGTACTTTTATTTATGATTTTCCACATATTGCCGTTAGCAGTTTATTTTGTGAAGGGGCCTTCATGGCCTGGTACAGGGATAGCTTTACTTTTTACTTATATGATTTTTATCTTGAGCTAATACAACTATTGTGGCCAAATTTTATTTTATATGTGTATTGTATGTTAAATGTGTTAAAGTTGTGTAAAACACAATTTATTATAAAATGTTTATTAAAATTGTAACAATAAATATTCCTGTTACATTCCCTTGAATTCCTTTCCTTTAAATAACCACAAGGTAAGGAGTACCATTTTATCTATTTAAATAATCAAGTCCTCCATTTACAGAGTGCTAAAATGGTTGTGTCCAAACTGTTCTCATTTTCCCAAAAGACATTTTGATTTTAAATTTGCTAGTGTATTCTGAAGTGAATACTTTTTTTTTATTCAATTACAGCTAGTCATTTGGCACAACACATTATATGTGCTTAGGAGTTTGAAGTTTTGTTTTTAAGGGGCCCATAATCCAGGTCTGAAATAAAAATTATTTAAGAACATATGGTTAGAGCGGCAATGTTCTTGGTTTTGAATGATGATTAATTAATGCCTATAGATATTTTATAATTCAAAGAGTGAAGTAGAATTATAATACAGATAATTTTGTAGTTTAACATTAGACAGTCAATTGCCTTCTCAGTCTCAAAATTCTTAGCATTACAAGTTGTATTGAGTTTGGTGTCCCTGTCTGTAGTTGTATTGTTTTAAAGTGACCAAATGAACAGTAACTATGAGCTTTGTGGATCTTAATGCAGTGATTATGAAGATTATTATCTTCTGAGTTGTGACACCATGTGTTTTGAAGGAACTTGCTGTCATCATCTTCAGGGTAGAAAAGTAAGCCATGCAAGGAAATATTTTCAGTGATATATGGAGAATAAAGGAAGGAGGATGGACTGAGAGTGAACCAGTTGGTGTGGTGCAACTGAATGGGGTCATTGAAAGTGGCTGAAGATAGAAGAAAAGAATCGTGAAGTAATTAGTTACTTTTCACGATTCTTTTCTTCTAATTCTTCTAATTAGTTACACTGCTCCCATTGGTTTGTTCTTAGCATGGCTTACTCTTCTATCCTAAAGATGCTGCAAGGAGGATTGTTCACAGATTTAATGTCTGTCTATCAAACTGCATGGCATCACTTCACAGAAGATGGTAATATCTGAACAATAACAAAAGTGCACAAAGAAGGGTAAGTATGAAATAACATTGTACTGTACTTACACAGCACGAAATGGCCATTCTGTCACTAAGATACAAAAATGAAAGTTCAGTGTCCTAATTGTCAGATTGGTGCATACCATCTGCAGTTTGCAACTCATTTGATAGAAAATTTTCCAGCATTTTATTGCCTTCCCTCCCATCTTCAATGTACCACCATTTTATTAATATAAATGTATATCAGTTGAATTTGGACAAGAAATCTATAGAGACTAATATGTTTGGAAAGGACAGTATGATCACAGTCTGTATGAGAGAAAATGCAGATGTCAGATAAGCTGTATGGTTTTTCATACCAGTGATTATTATGATTCTGTTCTATTACTGAATGTAATCAAAATTATGCTACAAATTATGTAATGATTGTTGCTTGGTTCATTCTCCACCAGCTTAAATTTTTATTTACACATTACTTATGAATAACTGGCATGGTGCAGTGCCTTCTGTCTGAATTCAAAGTGAAAATTCATCTCTTAACTACCAGTATGTAGATTTATAGGGTTACAGTGTATTTACATTCAGATTAAATGAAACTGTTGTGAGGGCAATTTGTAATTGCTTAAGGGATTTGTATGTACCAAACTTGTAGTTCACAGTAGCATGACTAGCATGGGTTGCCTTCAAAAAGAGTCACAGCTGGTGTGCATCAGAAACTTTGTCATGCTGTGTAACTGATAATGTTATTTCTCTTATATTTATGATAATGTAATTACTTTTATCTACACTGTGCTCTGTCTGTAATTGGCCTTGCGGCTGTTGACTCAGCACATAAATAAAGAATTGGATAGAATAAAAGAAAAATATGTGATGACTTGTATTACAAATAATGAAGGTAGAACAAAGCAAGGAGATTCCACATTTTCGTGTAGTTCAAAAATCTTTGGTGGTTGTTAATTGTGAGAGGCAGTAACATGTCTGATTCCCAATAATTAGCCAGATTTAAATTAAATATAAACATAACATTACATTGAATAAAACACCATAGCTATATTCACAATATTAGGTGATTCCCCTCATTGTAGTAGCGTTCACTGTGGTAAATACTCTGTAATACCAACAGTTTTTCAGATTTCTGCCTAGTCTTGTGGTGTATCCTAGGATGTTTAATTAATTTTTGTATTTTCCAATCAAATTTTTATGTTTTTGTGATTCAAAATTTTTGGCCATGGATGTTTTGTCCAGTTTTTTTTTTCTTCATTCAAATATTCATCCAGTGTTTCAGGTTATCTTTTTTTGCTTCCCCACTTTTTTGTGTGTGGTGCTCTTCTCTGATCAGTTGTATGTTTGGTGATATCTATTTTTTAAATTCAATTCTATCCCCGAGTCCCACCAGTTGTAACGGCAGCTGAATCCCCCACATCAAGATTACAGTGCTGTGATCACTGAATTAACAATGTGGCCTCTCAGTTTACAACAAACATTAAGTATTTTTACTGTGTTTAGGAGAACTATGTTTTATTAGAACTGAATTAATAATACACATTGACAAAGAGTTTAATAACATTTAAATATGTGGGAAGAATTGTTCGTGGACAAAACTTCCTGGAAACAAGAATTAGTGTGTGGTTTGCTACAACTGTTAGAAGACACATAAGCCCTGATGTTCTTGTATAACAATTCAGGGTAGTATCTGCATTATTTCAGAGTTTCCTCTAAAAAATTGAATGAAGAAGAAAACAGTTATGCATCTTTCCAGCAGACAGTACATTAGCACATGTCATAGATAGATCAGTGCGGGCTCTACAGACAAAGTCACTGACTGAAAATAATGAATTGAGGATTATGGCTGTTATGGTTCAGGAAAGCTATGACTCATGATGCCTGGTCTGGCAAGGACAAGGTTTATATCTTGAATCAGTGGATGAAGACAAACTGTGGGCCCATGCATATCTCTATCCATCCTAGTTTAAATAATTAGAGGTATATTTTAGCTTTGATTCACATTTTCTATGAAGAGTTAAATATGTATGTACACAAAAATTGCTCTCCCTTGCCCCCCTTTCACACCACAGCCTATGCAAGCTTATTTTCTTTCAAAAATAAAACGGTTGAAAAATTATAGAAACATTAATTTGTTATTGTAGCTTGGGGAATCACAATGCTTGCAAGGTTTTGAAATAGTTTGAATTACACCACATTTGGAATTAGCTTATTAATGGATTAATACATTATGTTACTAAATCAACCATTGGCTACATAAACCTATAATAGGTTAGCTCCTTTGTGTAAGGAAATACACTGAACTCTGACTTATATGCAAAATATATGATCAGATATGTGATTGCAGTACATTTTTTGGGGGAGGGGGTAAGACACTGAAGTAGACTTGTGTGTTTTCCATAAACCATTAGTGATTTGATTGTGTTAGCAGGTGAATGGAGTTCTAAATATGATAAAGTAAAAAGCTCTATTTAAGATTTGTTTGGTAGCAGTGAGCTATAACACCAGAATTAGGAGGATCTTAAACGGAGGTAATTTAACGTTGAGATAGTTTACTTTGGAGCATTGAAAATGAACAGTAAATGGGGGAAAATGTAAACAGAAGAAATATTACCTGGGCGTTCTGCTGTATGTGATAATATAAAATAAAATATGTTTTAAATACTTCTTATAGATTCTGTGTTTGGTGCAATTTGGCTGTGCCTCCATTCAATATAAAAATTGAACATAAATACATCCATAAGGTTATATTTACACTAGTAAGTTATTGATATGATTTGAATTTCAGCGAAACTAAAAGGGTAAACGTAAAAAGGTAAAGTTATTCCTGTAACTGGCTGTGAAGGACCATAGGGTTGTGAGATGTTGAGGCTCCCACATTTTTCTAGACAATCAGCACACAGATGGCGGTGAGGTTGTCAGCCTTACGTGCAGGCCACCCTTTACCCCCCCCAAGAAGATTCATGGTAGTCATTTCTGTTAAAAGCTAAGTCGACCCCAGGGCCATAGTGCTGCTGGAAGGGTTAGGTGAATTGACAAATCCAGTGACCTCTTCGAGATTGAACCCGCAACCTTTCAACTTGTAGCATAGTGCCTCAACCAACTGTGCTACTGCACACCCCCAGAAGTAAAAGGGAGCAATGTAGAAAACAAGTGTCATCCTCCAAGAAAAACAAATTTCTTTTTCAAAAACATGAACCATTTATTCAGCATTATGAATGCATCCGTGTACTAACACTAATGTGACCACCAAGAACTGAAAGTATGCTACCATGGTCTTTGATAGGTGAATGTACTAATACAGCATAAACCAGGATATCTGAAGTCAGCATATTAAATGGCCACTTGCTTGGTGATGAGAGTTCAATTCCTGGCAGGGGTAATTAATTTATTTTCAGATTGCAACTGGGACTTACCTTTCAGTTCATGTAGTGGACACCAGGGAAGCTTTACTGAAAGATAAAACAGTTGGAAAATGAAAATTACTACTCATATCCATCTAATGTGAGGTTTGAGATGTCAGAGTTTTCCTTTCATGCCCCATATGGCTGGAAGGCATGGTACTTAAAGGAAACTTTGCATTCTTACTGGTGCAGATACAGGAATGCTTGAATAGTTGTGAACAGGATGTAGTATAATATCTCAGGCTGTTTGTATTATGCAACATTTGTAGGGCCTTTCATTTTTTTCATAATTGGTATCACATATGTTTCATTTATTTTTACATTTTGTGTGTCTGTTAGAAGTAAGAATTACATCCTTCAAATATTCAATAACAAATTTGTTGAAAATGTCAGCAAGCCAGACTGAGAATGTACACACAAAATGTTAAATTGTTCAAAGAATAAAAATAAGTAAAGTTGTCCTGATTAAGCACTACACCATGAAGACATATGGGGGAGTGAATGTATAGATCCACATTTTCTTGATCTTGGCACTGCTAAAGGTGAGTGATCAGCTCCACGCCCCGGCCGCTTTACCCTCGGGAAAAGAGCCCGTGGTACCTGTTGGATAGGTGGCTGAGTGGGCCCCAGAGCTGGTCTTGATGACGTGAAGAAGAGAAAATTATTGACCGTACCAGGACTCAAACTCTGACCCCTCGGTCATCCAGCCAATAAGCCAGTCTATACCAACTATGCTATCCCAGCTTCAAATAAATTGTAATATTTTAATTAAGTACTCTATTATATTTGTCAGAGTTCTGTGTATATGAATCAGGAAATTGAAATCACCCTGGTAGTGTGGTTATTATGTCGATTGGCTATGAGCTGGATGACCGTGGGGTTGGAGTTCAAGTCCCAGGCGGGTCAAGAATTTTCTCTTCTCCACATTGTCCAGACCGGCTCTGGGGTCCATCCAACCTCCTATCCAGTGGCTACTTGGGAGCTCTTTCCCTGGAGCTAAAGCGGCCGGTCCATGAAGCTGAACACTCATTTCCAGCTACTGCCGAAGTCAAGAAAATATGGATCTATACATCCACTCCTCCATACGCCTTCATGGTGTAGTGCTTAATTAGTCAAGCACAGGGACAGCTTTACCTTTACCTTATTGTATTATATTTAAAATCTGTTACCGCTGTTCAGGATGTACTGCGCGAGAAAGAGTTGCACATCGAACAGCTATTGAAGGAACGAGACCTAGAAAGAGCAGAAGTTACAAGAGCAGCCAGCCAAGCAGATGATGCTGAACAAAAGCTTGCTGCTTATAAGCAGGAATTTGAGCAGGTATATTAAAATTATTCATATATCCATTTACTGCTGTCAGGAATGTTCCTGAATCACATTTTGGATGCAGACATTTCAAATTCATACCATATATTAGTTATTATGAATGAAATATTGTCTTTTTGTTTGTTTCTTTAGTGCTTCCAGGAATATATTGAAGCAGTTTCCTTAAAACAGGCCACATTTGATTTATTCTATGACCTAATTTATCGTTGACACTTGTAGCAGGTTGTTTAACATTACATAAACTGAGCAGCTTAAATGTTTAGAAATGACTAAATAATCATCCATCCAGAGGCATTGCATTTCACTTCAGGCCATTGTTTCAGTTCATACAATAAATCAGTTGTGGAGTAAGTCACTGAAGTAATCACTAAACCTAATAAGCAGGAAGATTGAATAAACAGTCAATCATTGCATGGTTGTATCCTTTCATTGGCAATACCATCTGCCATCCAAGGATGTGTTTTGTAACAATTTTATTCTTTTGAATGTTTTTGCGGACTGTATGTTGTTAGAACCCTGAAACCCATTTTCATCTTGTGATGTTGATTGTATACAGTGAAAGACTAATACATGACCTTTGAATGCACTTGATTCCCAAAGAGCTTCTCAGGAAGGTAATAACGGCACGTAATAAGGTCTGTTATTAAGCGTTTTATTACTGCCAGCCATTATGTAAGTTACTTTAAGAATATTATATCACCTACAGAGGTCAGAATCAAATGAGATTTGGAAGGATGATGGAATGATGAAGTTGGAGAGAACTGTAAGGAGTTGGTCATGATCTTTTGAGGTAATTCCCTGACATTTTGCTGGAGAAAGTGAGAAATAACATGAAGAATTCATAGTCAGGGTAACAAATTTATATCAGGAGATACATGGATGAGTGGTGGGTTATTTAACTACCCTCTATCAAATGAAGCAGTTCTTTTGCATCAAATGATGAGAAAGGATAATGGCTGTAACTGCACATGAAAGTATGGGGTTGTGGCCAATTTAAAGGTATTGCCCCAGCATTCACATGAAGGAACTGAGAAAAATTACAAAAAACCCTGCAGGAGATTTGGTGCACAAACCAGTACTTGAACTGGCACATCCCTCCCATTAAATGCAATTCAGAAATATTACTGCCTGTGTCATCTGACATGGTCCAAAAAGTGAGTCAGATGAACTACTTTTCATTGTGTTTGTTGTATAAGACTTGAAGCTTTCACTGCAGAGATATTTACTAAAATCATCTTGGGTGATAAAAACTGATGTATTGCAGATTTGATGTGCCACCATCATCAGGGTCAGTGTCGATGACAGTTCATTTCTCGGTTTGCTAGCATTATTACCTTGCTTTACATTAATACTAATTTTGATTTGATCAGTATTTTGAACTTTGTTTAATTAGTATCGAGAAGAATCAGAAGCTAAGTTGTTGGATATCCAAGACGTCTTGTCAAGACTACAAAAGGAAAAGGGGGAGTTGACAAGCCAGCTGGAAGATGAGAGAAGAAAAGTTGAGGATTTGCAATTTAGGTTTGAAGAGGAAGCAATTACTAAATGCGATATGGAGGTAAACATTTACATCATCATAATTTTTTATAGAAATTTGTAAGTTTTATTGAAATGTTTGGTACATAGATTTGAAAATACCTAAAAATTGTAAGTTAATGAAGCAAATCAGAATTAAAATAGTGGTTTGTACTTTTGTTTTCAGAGTAAGAGAATTGAGCAGGATGTGAGTAGAAAATGACTTTGTGTTGAATTATGTGTGTCTGTAACTGTCTTTACAGCATAGTTTGTCTCTTATTCTGTTAGCTGGACTGCTTACACTTTACAGCTACTGTGTGAATTTGTCTTTATATGCACTTCTAGTGCTTACAGCTAAGGTGAAAAGTGCAAAAAAAACCTATTGCAACATATGCATGTGATTATCCCAAATAAATGTTGGTAGGTAGTAGGCTTCATTTCAACAGCAGTGAAGACACTGCTATACCCTGTGTAAGTGTTGCTAGTGTCCTTTGTAATGCTACAATGGCTGATTAGTGAACTACTGTGACAGCCTATATACCATTGTGCTGTTGTGTGGAATAAGCTGAAGTGGATTTGGTCAGCTGTCAGTTTGTTTCATTGTATCACTCTTACAACCCTGGCATGTAGTTCCTATACACTTTTTATGCCATTTTTGAGCATACCATATAGTTGTTTTTAAGCTGTAGTTTCTATTATGGCTGTTAGAAAATTAAATTTGTATAATTTGAATATGTTGCTATTTATTAGATAAAAATGTGCTGCTTTATATAATATTCAGATTTAAACTGATGTACACAATTTGCCTAAAGAAGTGCTGTTTACATTGTATATTCGGTATTTTTAAATTTCAGTTTCAACCAACTTAGTAATGCTATTGTTAGTTGTAGACAGTTCAGAACTATAAAATGAAATCAACACTAATATATTTTATTGTCAGTTTAAAATTTGTACACATTTTGATATGTAGGATTTGATGCATATGTATATTATAGAAATTTCCAATTTCTTAATCCTAGGGCTTCAGTAATTAAATAGTAATGCTACTATTCATAAGAGAAAGTTATTGGATTCCTAAATTTAATCCAAGACTTTAGAAATACATAGCTTTTGTTTATATATTTGCTGCTACAAAGTTCAAATTTTATTATAGATAATACATATGGTAACATACATTCATTATACCCATACCCTTTAATTTCTGTCAGCACTTATTATTACTACATTCCTCATTTATAAAAATTGTTGACATACGTTAGAATTAAATGTTCAGGAGGAAAAACAAACAATTGTACAAATACATTACATGCTGTAAATCCTAAACATTTGTACAAAGAGTTTCTTGGAATGCTGTGATAACCTAAAATCCAAAACAGATTAGAGCTGTTTTATATATTAATTCTTGTGTTAAGAAAATAACTTGCCTTATTGTATAACAGATATTCCAGGAATTAATTAAATAATTTTCCTGGGGAGTAAAGCGCGGCCGGCGTGTAAGGCTGACAACCTTACCACCATCTTTGAGCCGATTGTCTACATAATGTGGGACCCTCAACGTCTAACAACCCTATGGGCCTTCACGGCCTGTTGCTTTTTAATACTGAGATACTCTGTCTTCATTTCTTCCCCTCTCATGTCAGAAAGGTGTTTAAAGGAAACTGGAACAATTCCACTATTAACTTTCATAATTACATAGTATTCCTTTTTTGTTTTTGAATTTTGATGTGTATTAGTGAAGAAAGGTACATCTTACCAGAATAACTATCAAAATGTATATTAAATTGAAAGAATTTATATTCTTCATATTCCCTAAGCACGAAAATACAATTCTGTTTTTTCGGTTTAAAAATTTTTCAAGATGTGTGTAAGTATTGATTCACTGTTTGGATCATTATTGAAGGAATGCTAATTTCACATGTGACATCTGTGGGACTGATGTATGTATTACTTTTAGGCTGCTAATGCTGTTTGTGAAGATCGGATTAGAGAGCTAGAAAAGAGTTTGTCTGAGGAGAGACAGAAGTCTGAGTTACTGGAACAAGAATCTAATAAACTGTTTGAAGCTGAGGAAGCAATAGCACACTACAAAGATGAACTGGACATGAAACAGAAGGAATTGGATGATGTTCGAAAAGCACTGAAGCTGCGAGATGAGGAAGTGGAAACAGGAAATCAGAAAGCAAGTGAAGAAGTAAACAAATTGAAGAGAGAGTTAGCAGAAGCTCAAAATTCATTTAAAATTAAGTGTCAGGAAGCAGATAAACTGAATAAAGAATATAATGATGAACTTGAAAGGTTAAGGAGGGAACATGAAAAGTCTAATAATGCAATGAGAACAAAATTAGAAGAATCAACAGGGCAGCATTCTTCTGAACTTCAGAACTTACAAAAAGAACTGAATGAAACTCAAAATCAGTTGAAGCTTAAGTGTGAAGAAGTTGCTAAAATAACAGAAGAACAGAGAAATGAAACTGATACATTTAAAAAGCAGCTTGAGGAAGCTACAAATTTGGTCCAAGCGAAATCTGAAATTTTACAAAAGGAAATAGTGACGCTGAGAGAAAGTGAGGCAGCTTTAAAAGAGGAGGTTAAACAGATTCAAGTAGCTTTGAAAGTAAAGTCTGAAGAACTGGACAGAAGTACTGAACATGCCAAAGAGCAAGGAAAAGTGATAGAAAAATTAAAAGTAGAAAATCAACAGACAGAGAATTTGTTGAAAGAAAGAATGGAGAATTTTGACAAAAAGACTACTGCTATGAATGAACTGGAAGCAGTATTGAAGAAACAACTAGAAACCAGTGAAAATACATTAAAGATGAGAGTGAATGAACTATCAAAGATTACTGAAGAACATTTAAATGACTCCAAGGCCAAAAATGCAACAATACAGAAGCTTGAGGAACAAATTAAGGAAAGGGATTCTGAAATAAGTAAATTGAAGCAAGAGCTAGCAACACTCAAGGAAGAGATTATGAAAGAATATGCTGCAGCAAAAGAGCAGCATAACAAGGAGATTGAAGAAAAGATATGTTTACTGAAAAGTGCAGAGGAATGCTTGAAAGAGAAAGAATCAGAAGTTAAGCAGCTGAAAAGAGATATTGAGGTCCAGAAGGAACGGCTTAACGTGAAAGCTGCAGATATTGTGGTTCAACAGGAGAAAACACAAAGTAAGTATGCTTGTAAGAACACATGTACCCAGTAAGAAATATACTAGAGTTACAAAGTCTGATTGTTGCTGTAAATGTATTCATACTGTCACATAGTATGTGTGACTATAGATGGACTGGTGAATGGATTTATTGACAACTTATAAACCACGACTAAGAAGTACGGTTAATTACAGCTCTTTCACTGTTTTCTACACTTTGCAAATCATTAGCACACGCTAAGTCTTCTCATCCTTCACCAGTCTTACATTGGCAACAGATTTTATAACAGTCACTGTAACTACAGCATACCCAAATTCTTCTTTTCACACCCACACTCTTGCAACTAACTCTTTTATTCACAGCTGGACTTTCAATTCTCAACTGAACAATCACCATCTCTTCTCAGCCTCCCTTGCAGAGCTGAACTGAACTGCCATCCCCAACTGACTGGTTGCCCCAGTTGTCTTCTTTATAACTCCTCAGCATGGGCCACATCAAAAATATTGTTCTGCTGTTGTTGCATGCAAGTTCATTTCTGCAGGAATGTGCTTATGGAGCCGTTGCTCAGAAACAGCTGTTTGTTTATTCACTTGTTGCATAGCAACGCAGCAGCTTTTCAGAGATATAAGGTGCTTTACCATGTACCATAATTAGCACATTCTATTCTAATGACTATGCTGTGATACTTTATTAAAATAGATTATGGTTGGAGAGCTAAATATGGTTTCAGTGAATATTAATCCATATAGAATACAATAATTTAGTTTCATTTAATTTTATATTGCTTTCAATAAGCCCTGAGTGAACTTCCTTTGTTATTTTACAGACCTGACCCAGAAAATAAAAGATTCTGAGAATGTGGTTGCAGCTCTGACAGCTGAGGTACAGAAGTTTCAGCTGGAGACAGGCGATCTTCAAAGGAAATTGCAGGCTTCAGATGAAAAGTGCAGTCAGTTGACACAGCAGAAACAAAAACTGGTAGAGCACTTCACACAGAAATTATTACTTTAGTCTTGATGTTTCATGTTGTCATACATACTTGTGTTTAGCTAGCCTCTTCTAATTCTGCAAACTTTAAATTTACTGACTGGATTTAGCACTCCTTGGGTGGGAGGTAGTACATTAGAAAGTCTTCTGCATAGTCAGGGAAAAACAGCAGAGAAAATTGCAGACATACAACCATACCATGAGTGGGATTCCAACCAGTTTTTCCACTGTTTGGCCAATTCAGGACTTGGTGCACAGTAGACCATGTGGCCAGTATGATCAGCTGCCATACATACTCTGATTTAAAAATGCTTTTCTTTAAATGAAACTCATCAACTGTTGCCAGTTTGTGTTTGAAGTCCTAAGGAATTTAAACATTCCTAATTGGTGGCATATTTATTTATCTTGTCAGTATTTCAGTACACTGCTGTGAAATAATCAGCCTTTATGAGTTTTGGTACCAGTGAATCACATTCTCATAAAATTGATTCTGTTTATCTTAAGAAATACGAGGGGGTACCCAAAAGAAACCAAACTTTTTTTTTTAAACTTATTTATTCAAATTTGAAGCACAAACCTTCAATCCCCTTCAAAGTACTCTCCACTTACACTAATACACTTGTCTAGTCTTTTATTCCATTTTTCAAAACATTGTCTAAATTCATCTTTTGAGATGCTTGACAGCGCCTCTGTCGTGTTTTCCTTCACCT